ACTCACTCTCACACACACACACACACACTCTCTCTCTCACACACACACACACACACACTCACTCACGCTCAGAACGACAGAATTCTTTGAAAGACTTTGATCGGATTGAAATGGGTGTAGACCTGAAACAGTCTGATCAATAGGATAAACAATTAAGCATGTGACTGCATTTCTTTTTCTTTATTTCTTACGAATGTGCATATGTTTATTTACATCTTTTGAGCTGAATATTTACTAAATATTTGGTTATTTTGACATCAAGCTTTCCTTTTAGATATGTCATCGAGTTGAAAGCAACGATTATAATCACAGTAACGGTGATGTTATAGCCGTGACTTTCTCCAGTTTGACTGATGCAGTTTGGTTTGGAATACACAAATGCACATGAAAATGACAATGTGAATAAGATTGCAGAACTTTCAGAATTGATGAAAATGAGTGCATGTAAACATGCCTACTGAGGAAAACAGTTTATACTTCTGTGTTCCCCTCGTTTGTTGTACATTCAGACCTGTTTGATGTCACGTCCTTTCCTCTGATTGGTTCCAGAATAAGAGCGCCTTCCTGTGCGGCGTGATGAAGACGTACCGGCAGCGGGAAAAGCAGGGCAATAAAGTGCAGGAGTCCACGAAAGGCCCCGATGAGGCCAAGATAAAGGTACTGCAGCTGTTTCGTGGCCACAAATAGAGCCGTGAATATACCTGTGCTTCTCAAGCTTTTCACTCCATTGTCCACACTTCTGTGATCTGTACATTAGAAAAAGTAACTAAAATCATATATATATATATATATATATTAGGATTCCAGATGCTAATTCATGGAGTTTCTGAAATCTTTAATTTTGTTTTATTGTAAATCATTTTAAGTAGTGATGTTCCAAAAGATTTTCAGCTGAAATAGCAGTTTTCTGTTTATGATGTGTAATTAGTGTTTCTCTGATGATGCATTTGGACTTTTAGTGACCTGTAAAAGACTTCAGTAAAACAGCTTGAGAGCAATAATGTCACGTAACATCGGGAGAGACTAGGGCTGGGCGATATAGCTAAAAAATATATATCAACGTTTTTTTTTTTTATTTAACCACTGTATTTGTAATTTGCCCACTTTATTAAGACAAACAACAAATATATATAGGCATATATATTATTTTTTAACAGTCAAACACAAAATAAAATTTAAACAAATATCTCCTTTCTTATGTTTTATATGCAGATTAAATAAGTCTTAAGGAAACTTTTGACTTGTCTCCCAAGGCCACAGGAGGGCGCAATGAGCAAAATAATGCAGTGCATTAAACTGTCAATTCAAATAACTGTCTATAAAAACGTGCATAACGTCTAAATTAACATATATAAAACAAATATCATTTTGTAAATTGCATAAACAATTATGAACAAAACAGCATCATGTATTTATGCATTGCTTAGCCTAATACAAAGAGCCAAATCGCTGATCACACAGAATGGCATGGTTTCGGTTTGAACCTAATCAAGATCTTCTCCGCATTGAGCTTCTATATTTCTCTAATATTTTGAACGAATAACAGCAGCTATGCGTCTCGTGGGCTAGACTAACAAAACATTAAAATGAAACAACGTCACTTACATCATCATCACCGCATCTCGTGCTCCACTGATGACGCTCCCTGACGCACTCCTAACATTCAATTGCACCATTTTTGCATTCAAATGCAAATGTTTATTTTAAGTTCGACTGATATTAATGTTTTTATTCACAATCTCCTCATCACAGGCAGGCACAGCACTCAATTCAGCATGTGTTCGTGTTTGTGTGAGCTGTCTGCGTCACTCATAGCACGTGCCTATATCGTGCGCTATATCGAGCATTTTTTCTATCGTTATCGATGAAGGTGTACCGTCGATAAATAGATACCGTTTTATCGCCCAGGCCTAGGAGAGACAGTCAGTGGCCATAGATTTCATAGTCAGCTAGAACAATGACTCCTCTGCCTGTTTGAGCATCGCTGTTTGGCTGATCTTCATGCTGTGATGTACTGATTGTGTCGCAGGCTCTGCTGGAGAGGACGGGATACACTCTAGACGTCACGACA